GCAAGGACTGAATGTTATTGGACCATACCATATTCTATCCTGAATTCTAACCATAGATCACTAATATGAAGCAGTGGAACTGTCTCCTTCGGTTCATTGTGCTTAATGGCATAATCCTTTCTCTCGTTGCAGTGGGTGTCGTTTTTTGGTTTGGGAGCTATCTCTGCTGCTGTCATGTCATCAGCTGATGCAAGCATCTTGTCCTCCAGTTCCATGTTCTCCAGAAACATATACAAAGCTGCCTTCAGGCCTAAGGTATGTATTGCAATGTCATTGTATCACGTTCTGTTGATCTGGACATTAAAATCGACAGTAAAGTATTGTTTCGTTGCAGCAGAATTCAGATTGTGATATCTGAAAACATACATTAATTAATACTATTAAAAAACACTTTTAATACAAAGAAATTTGTCAGTTTTGGGCTTCTGGGATGTAATGCCATGTATTTTATAGATGGTTACTGATGTTTCAGAGGAACATATTGCCTTCATCTTAAGGGTTAAACTTCACCTCTACTTCAACACAGAAGATGGACTTTTATGTTTCTCCAAAACTTTAGTAACCACCTACAAAACAGATGGTGTCGCAGAAGACCAAAATCGATATCTTCACTGATCTGAGAACCAGAAATCTTGATAAAAATGTTTTTACAGTACATTCCACGTGTTTACAATCTTGACCATTATTTTTAAATGAGACATTCATAAACAAATGGAACTAACACTCATTCTAAAATTACTTGTATCATGCAGCATCATTTATCCATTTTTTTTTTTCCTCCAGGCTGGTGACCGTGAGATGTTGTGGGTCCTGAGAATCTCAGTTATGGTGATTGCTACATTGGGAGCCATCACTGCACTGACAGTTGGTAGTGTGTACTATTTGTCGTAAGTATCGTCTCAGATTTTATAAAGTGTGAGTGTAGCGCTACATTTGGCATAACTGTCACAAAGGTTTACTGAATCTCAATTGTGAACATTTTGCACAAAACACAAAATGTGGGCAATGGGACATTAATTTTTAATGCAGTGACTTTTGCTTTTCTCTTCTCAAAACAATATTATTTTAACATTTTCAAGTTTGTTTTTGCATAGAAAACTTAAAAATAATTTTCTCCCCCACCCCCCATTCCCCCCCCCCCCCCCCAACTTTGGTTAAACCTTATTTTGTCACCTTTAAAAAGAACAAACAAGTATTTATCATAAAGTGAAGCTTTCGCAGTGACTGAAGTTGATGAAAGACTCTCGGGTTACAAGCTGAGGATGAGAGTAGAGATTGTTCTCGAAACGTTGGCAGAAGATATTGTTTATTTTCTGTTGAGCTACCTGACATGGCTTCTGACCCCGGAGTCTTTCATCAAGTATTCATCATTTTATTTATAGCATACAGAATCCCTAACAGTCCAGTTCTGTATTCCTACTCTACTGTAGCAATAGCTTCCTTGTTTCAGTTACTTGTGTGCAGACCTGATCTACGTAATTCTCTTCCCTCAACTTTTGCTTATCATCCACTGGGCACAAGGTGTGAACACATACGGCTGCCTCGCGTCCTACTTCATCGGACTCTTCCTGAGAGTTTTAGGTGAATAAATTAAATCTTTATTTTCTGTAATACTATAAAATTAAATGAATGAGGAATATGTTCAGCGAATGTACTATTTCTTCGTATCTCGATATGCATAAGACCAAATGTGCATGATGGAAAACCACATATTATTTATCCAGTTATTGTATTGATTTATAATGAAATGTTAACTTAATTTTGTAATGTAGTACTGTATGTGATAATGTAGGGTGGTTGTAGTTAATTATTTTGTAAGTCTTTAAACCCCAGTGTTTACACACTGTGCAGTGTTGTTTAAATGGCCTGTATGAATATTTATTCGTAGAATTTTCAAGTGGCTACTTAGAATATCTTCAACGGAAGTGTTTATATTCTGTGAGAATGTACATGGGCTCACAGATTGAAGGTTTAATAACATTTTTATCTTTATAGGTTAAATAATGTTTTATGAGATGGAATGATGATTAAAAGTATTGAGTAGTTAAGGATCTGAAAAAGTGGTCATGACTCATCTGGATATACTGAGGGAAACTTTAGTCAGAATAGCAGGCTGAGATTTGAACTGGCTGCTTCATGAAGAAAATATAGATCATTGCCATTACACTAACCTCCTTTGTAACAATGTAAAAACAAAGGATACAAAATACTAAGGACTGTGTATAATTAATGTTCTTTATTTTTGTTCTGTTTTAGGAGGGGAGAAGCGCCTAGGAATTCCAGCAGTCATAAAATTTCCATATTATGATGAAGTTACAGAAACTCAGAAATTTCCCTTCAAAACTTTGTGTATGTTTTGTGCTTTAAGTGCCCACTTATTGGTAAGCACAGCGGCTAGACTGTTATTTGAACACAGGTACATTGAAGCAGACAAATGGGATGTTCTGAAGGCCTTCCCACACCTTAAAAGTAGGAACACTGACACAGAATTTAGGAAGGGTTTTGATGAAATATCTATGTCTGGCACATACAAAGGGACAGAGAAAGTGGGAATCGTAAACACAGCAGCAGTGACCGAAAAAATAGGAATTGTGAACACAGCAGTTGTGACTGATTCTACTGATGATATCAAAAACAGTATTGAGACAAAAAAAGATTATTCAACTTCATGAGATTTTTTTTATTTAGATGCAATTTGCAAAAGGATCAGTCCATTAAGATCTTCAGATAGGAGTCAACAAAAACAACTTTTATGATTGTGTGATTTGTAAAAGCTGCTAATGTTGGAGGATTTAGTGTGTTGGCACTACTGTGACATGCCTGACTTTTATTCAGGAAATTACCAATTTGAATCTCTGCTGTAGACACTAGCTATCCTTGTTCAGGAAATGTACAGCTTGTAGGCCACTACCATTTTCTTTAGTAACCCTCGCTATTTATAATTTATATTCCCCAGTGGTAAAACAACTGAGATGCGAATCTGACCACTTTCGTCCATCTAGTGTTGAGGTCAAGAAAGAGTGGAGCCATATCTCCACTACCTCTTACATTATCATGATGTGGTGCTTATGAAGTTATCAGGGTCAATTTTATCTTTACCTTACTTTGTAATTCATTGTCATTCTGTGACGTCTTTTTTAATGTTTTATATACACACACACACACACACACACACACAGCATGTTTAATCAATGAACATTCAAGAACATAATTATTAAATAGTTAGGACAGATATCTGATAAACTTTGTTTTATTTTAACTTATCTATAAAGTAATTTCTACATCTCCAAGCAAACGTGAATACTGCTTTCTGAATACCGCCCAATCCATCATTTGTTACTACCCTCATGTCGATTAGTACTGGAAGACTTCAGTAATTTAGGCTTGAACATTGAATAAATTACATACATATCTGCATCTATTGCCATATATTTGCATTACATTTTACAGTAACTATGAATCTACATTTCTCATGGGGAATAGGCAAGAAGAATGTTATTGCAGCTCATATTTTCATTGAGGGGGGAATCAGGAATCATTTTTTAAGCAAAGACACACTTTTTTTTGTATGAGCCTTTTTTTTAAAATTGAATTATTTCAGTTTGAGCTTCATGTAAAATAGAGATTCTGTGATACTGATACAAAATTAATTTTGTTGTTGTGATATTTGACTGAAGTGAAGCGTCCATTACCGTATAATGCAACATCAAACCTTAGTCCTCATCAAGAAATAATCTCCTTCTCCTTTGATATTTGACTTTATTCACTGATCTATGAAGATGCTTTTTAATTGGTCTACATGATGCTGTCACTTGTTTGAAGCATTTTAAAAGGTACGTAAATGTTACATTACACATATTTGAAAAAAGTATTGAAAATTTTTGCCTTAAAATTTTATTATTTTAGGAAGGTGCAGTGAAAGGGTTGTTTTCTGATAAATGTTGGTGTAGACTCGTAATACTTTGGGTATGTATAATGTGGACAGCAGATATGACCTTACTGCGTTCATTTTGACTTTATGCCCTTCAAAGAACACAGTCAGTCAATCATGCTGATTGATCCTGACTGCAATGTGGGACACGTGTGTGATATAGTGGTGTTCAAGAAAGAAAATGTATGGGAAAATGGAATTATTCCAAAGAGAACATTCTGAAAATTACTCCAAATTAAGAAGTTCTGCAGCCAGTCTTTCATAAACAGAATTTGTAATTGCTTTATTAATATTTTAAAGGTTCATTTTCTGATGGAAACTTGAAATATTTTGGCTCTCCCTTTAGTCATAATCAAGATTAGTGTGCATCTATATTCTATGAGTTGCAGTACTTTGTTATACATTTTGACATATATATTGAGCACAAGGCTATTATCATTAATATCATTTATATATAGGGTGCAAGATTGCTTCTAATGCACATTTCTGGCTTGCATTCTAAATAACCCCACCGCATTAGTATTTACAGCCCTCATATGACTGATTCAGATAACACAATAGCAAGTGGTTGAATTGGTTATTCTTTGCTACAATGAATTGAAATAATTCTCTCAGTTGGGCTGTTTTTAACTGGTTAAAAACAGCATACTAATGAAACAATTTAATTTTGGAAGAACATTCAGACTCTCAGGGATAATTATTGCATACAATAATAGAATTAGTAGTGTTCCTTCTTGCTGTAAGAACTATCGATGCCGAACCTGAGAATGAAATTCTTCAAGAAACGAAATAAAGGTGGCAGTAGAATCTTATTCAATAGTGTTGAGTCAGATTGGAAAGTTATGTGTGTTGGTTGACGGATGAGTGAAGTGTTGTGAGGTGATGGAGAAGTTGAAGTGGTGTAATGGTTTATTGTGACTGAAGAATTGTTCGAAGATGGATCAAGGGAAATATTTGTATGATAAGCAGTCATCTCCTGATATGGGAATTACTGATCCAAATGGACGACTTAAAATGCTGTCGGACTTCGGAAATTCGATAGATATAGACAGTAACATTCCGCCTAGAAGGTAGGATTTACCCGTGGATTTTTAATGCCTTGTAAATGCACCCTAAGTGAATAAAATAGTGTGGTTCCCCCCTCGTGGTCTCAGCTTTTTTAATTTGTATAAAAGACACTCAGAATTGTGTTTGGTAACTGTCATCCTTGTGGATTCGTGTAACCCTTAACCTGTTTTGGATCATATTTAATCGGCTAACGGGTCTATTCACATAAAAAGTTAGCCGTAATCTGGTTCATTCGGTAAAACATAGTGATTATGCACATGAGGCTCGTTCATTTAAAATGGTTATCTATACAAGATTTTGATCTAGTAGTAACTAGATCAAAATGTTGTATAGATATGGTGTTTGCACGAAATGTTGATAGTCTAAAGTGTACAAATTTTATAACATATTTCAGCTACCACAGACCCATCTTAAGCGTAACTAATTCAAGGTAAAAAGCAATGTCTTACTCAAACTTTACTCAATTGTAAAGCATGTCTAAAGGAAATATTCCACTGTCAATTTTTTAATTGGTACAGTGAAGGCTTCTTTAACACTTGGGTTATAGGTTTGAATTCTGGAAGGGGCATTGACACGTGTGTGTATTTCTGTAGTTGATTTAGTCAGTTTCTCTCAATGTATGGAATTTGACAAAGTGTTCATCTTTATTATTCTTATTTATCAGGTATTACAGGTCTGGCATGGAAATGGTTCGGATGGCTAATGTGTATCTGGAAGAAGGCAGTTTGGAGAATGCTTATATTTTATATATGAAGTTTATGACGTAAGTATATAATTCATTATATAATAAAATCAGATTCATTACATTCATTGTTACAATATTGCTAAATCTGTTAGTTTTGATGCGTGGAGGCCTAATTGAAATTCTCATATGAATGGGTATGAATATGGTTATATGCTGGAATGTTGTGCTGTGCAGTCTGGTGGATATTATCTGATGTTTCAGAAGAGTGTGCTGCCTCCACCATCAGGGTGATAATGATGGCTGCATATGCACCTCTGAAACATTGGTCATTATCCACCAGACTACATGGCACAACATCTCAGAAGATGGTCATCTTTGTATATTATTATCATATATATATATACATATATTATTAAAATTAGCTTGTACAGTGTTAACCATACAGAAAAATTGCAAGTAACACACATAATGGACTTAATGATAAGGAATTTACTTCCTTCCCATGAGTCTACATCTTCCTAGGCTTAGCAGATAGAAGTAAGAGAATTGGTTGAAGATTTTATTGTAAGCACATCATTAAAATGAAATTTAAAGTAATTTTTAGTTGGAATAAGTTTAAAGATTTCAATTTTTGCTCGAGGCTTTCATGGCAGCGAAGATGTTGATTTTGATCTTATGGATTGTAACACTGTGGATTTCAGCCTTGAAGATGGAGACAGTATGTCTCTCCAAAATGTTGGTATCTAGTTATTATACTCAGAGTAAACAAAAGTTACTTCTGTTAACAGCAGTGATCAGTTGAAATTCATAATGGATACATATTATGTTTTCTATGACTTATGAACTGAATATTTTTGTATGCCCACTATAATTGTACTCTACTGAAATAACCATTGTCACAAGCCTTTATAGAATTACGGTGTTCGTACATCCATAGGTTATTTATTGAAAAAATTCGTCACCATCCTGATTTTGCAACTGTATCAGTAACGGACAGAGCCATTAATGCTCAAAAATTACGGGAAGTTTTACCAAAAGCAGAAAAGCTGAAGACCCGACTTTTGGAGCAGTATGAACAAGAATATAATAGATACCTTGAAGAACAGGTAAGATCATATTTATTTTATTCCTGATATTTTATTTATTAATTGATAAAAGCATTTAACTGTCTTCAAAGAGTGAAAACACATCTTTTGTAGAATTTCATTCTGGGCATTTTACTAATTTCATTTTGATAAGATCAGTCAGTGTCTTTCAGCTTTTCAGAATGTTTTCCAGGTTTGTAATTGTATTCTTATGATACTTTGTTTAAGTCTTATTAAAACATGCCCGAAATGTTGATCCTTGCACATAGATACTAGTTGAAAATTTGAAGAATGAATTTGTTTTGTTTTCACTTTAGTGTGTGATTTGCTAATTTATTTGCAGTAATACAGTGATTCCCAAGAAAATATGTCATTTCTCTAATTTTCTGGTTCATGAGAAAACCTTTTTATATTTTGTTCTCATAGAACAAAACTGAAATAAATTAAACCATTAAACACAGGAAAAGTTATATTTCTTAAAAATTTTGTATAGCCATAATTTTTTAACCTCTTTTTTGATTCTGTAAAACCAATATGGTTTAATCATCATAAAATAAACAGCCTTCATTATGAATGTCATAATCATTTTGTCTTGTAGAAACAGAGGGAACTTGAACGCCAAAAAAGAGAGGCAGAAGAAATTAAACAGCATGAGGGCCGTGAATTTCCCCATCGTGTGAAGTTACCAGCACAAAAGGGACATACCATACCTGGAACTTCAGTTGTTGTAATGCCCCCTGTATCTACTGATGATGTAATTTATCCTGATACACTAGAACTGGAAAAACCTGGTTACACTCCTAAGCCAGACAGTCTTTCAATTTCTGTTCCAAGGTATGATTTATTTGAAAATGCTGAAATAATGTGATTAATGTGGTTGATGGTTGTTGTAGCATTAGTGATAGTTATGGGGACTGAAGGTGATGTAACAGAAGCAAAAATTGCCAGTGTTTGAAGCATCTGTATCTCTGTATTTGAATGTACATGTATGTTCTTATCATTTTAGGACTGTGCCATTGCCAAATGTTGATAGAAGTACAAAGCCAGCATCTCTTCTTAGTCCATCAATCCATTCTAAAGTTGGGTTGCGAGATGTTATAGTTCCTTCAAGACTCATGGGAAAATTTATGAACCTGGCCCAGCGGAACACAAGCCAGAATATTGAGACCTGTGGAATATTAGCTGGAACACTTGTGAGTCTTTATATAACCTGTAGCAAATGGGAATAGGTGATTTATGGCCTCATACTATGGGGCTGCCAGACGGAGTTTAAGCTCATGTTTAACAATTCATCAGTAGTCGTGGCTGACAGTGCCAGACTTACACATATAGTAAGCTACAGCTTCGAGCCTCAGGATAAGAAGGTCCTCAAAATGCGTTGTACATTTTTATGTGTGTCTTTATGCAGTCATCTTTATATACCAGTGCTAGTATAATGTCTCACCACTTTAAGTGCAGTCACACCATTTAGAGAAAATAAAATAAAATACACATACTTAGAGCATCAGAAAGGACACTGAGAAATTTAGTGAGTCAGCAGATGGACCAACATGTATTTATGACTATCATATAAATAAGATTGTTCCATTTGTTTTTCTTTTTTTAGAATCGTGGGCGACTAATCGTTACACATCTTCTTGTTCCGAAACAGAATGGAACAGCAGATTCATGTACAACACAGAATGAAGAAGAAATATTTGACTATCAAGACCAGCATGATCTCATAACACTTGGCTGGATTCATGTAAGTTTTGTACATATTTTATTATATTACATTATGTTTTTATTATGATTATGGGGATAGCTTTTAAAAGACACATGATGGATAAAGTCTAAAACAAAGAAAATAGTTAGCATCTTTGAGTTTTTCCAAAAACAGTCTTGCATATTTTTCTTTTTGTTTTTCAGACCCATCCAAGTCAGACTGCATTCCTTTCAAGTGTAGATTTGCATACTCACTGCTCATACCAGCTTATGATGCCTGAGGCTCTGGCAATTGTGTGCGCTCCACGGTATGAAGAGTAAGTATAACAGTGTTATTAGCAATTGAGAATAGGTGAATCAGTTGAAAATTCAAGATATGACAGACTTAGGGGTTTTGTGGGATATCTGAAATCTGTGGATTTCTGCGGATTTATTTGAAAGATTATAATTCTATGAGGCCATCCCATACGATTGTGGCCAAGTTCTAAAGGACTTGTATGTACAATAAAATTTACGTTAAACTTTGTTTTGACAAATAAATTTAGCGATGCTTTGAAAGCTGGGTATTATAAGTTTTAAGGTCATGCATTCTAGTAGCTTTCTTCATGGATACAAACTGCATTGATCTTGATAGGCAATGGATCAATACTGAAATCTCCTCATTCTTGAGTAATTACATTCAGTGATCAACGGAGTTTCATTTATTTGTACATGGAAAGAAAAATGAGACCATATGGAACAAATGTTTTTTTTATTCTTTGTGTGTGTGTATGGGAGGTGGGAAAGAGATTGTTTTGTAAGTTGGTTTATTACTGATAAATATGTCTCCATATGTCTGCTTGTGTACCTCTTATTAAGTACTATACTAGCTAAATTGCCAGTTGTTGAACATTATACAACGTATTCTGTTATTTGAAATTTTTAATTTCCTTTCAGAACTGGTTTCTTCATTTTAACTCCTCACTATGGTTTGGATTTTATCGCGAAATGCAGACAAACTGGTTTTCATCCTCACCCTACTGAGCCACCATTATACATGGTATGTATTACACTAAACAGTTTGAACGTGCTGGAAACCTTCAGCAGTAATTTTAGAAAATAAATTAGTAGCTTGTGAGATATTGAACAATTAATTTCTTCCATGACATAAGTGACATATATTGCTTTGAAATTGATTATACATACTCTGAATTTATTTTATATATGACACTGTCGTAGAAAACGAAGCTTTTCATCCATCTGTTGAAAGTTTAGCCATATAATTATAATTTTTAAAATTTGAAGTTGTGGCTTTTTTTCAAAATATACAAACTTTTTCACACAAATTACTTTATGTAAGAGGAATTAACATATTCACTGCCTGGTGGTTTTACCTGTATCATGCCAACTTCAAATACAGTCCGTAAGTGTTCTGCACTGAATTTAAATCCGTAGCATTTAATAAAACAGTATCGCCTTTTATAAAATTTATATGTCTCTGAAACTATCAGTGACAACAGTACGAAATAGAAATTACTGGAAAGTAAGACATACATTATGGTGTTACAGAAATTTCAAATTTATAATTTATTCCAAACTTCTGTGGTAGGAACTTGAAAGATAAAATAATCTGTTTTATTCATCTGGTTGTAAATTTAAATGCTATCATAACGCCATTTTGCATTAATCACATCTGTTTAAATTTGGATCCTACTGCCAAGGTTTCTATACAACTTTGACTACAGTTGTTCTTGTTAAGAACTTTTATTTTTAGTACGGTTCCTTGCATTGTGCACATTTACATTCAGGTAAACCGTACCAGTTTCTTTGACTCTATCAGGTTTTATTTGCCTTCAAGCATATATAGGCACAAATATCCCTGGAAGCTGATGTGCCTACAAGCCCACAAACAAACAAATATATAAAACATGCATATGTAAGGTTGTTGTGTTCTCAAAAGTTAGATTAGTATGAAATGCTTAAAGCATAAATAAATAAACGTTTGGATGTCAGTAAGGTGTACTTTGCGGAAGTACAAACAAGATTTCACGCGTCATACTTCATCGGTGTTAGATTTTACAACCAGTCGTGTGGCGTGCCTTTCTGGTTAGATCGCTTTTGCATGTGACTGCCGTGGCAGTGCAGTCCTTTGCAGAACATCAGGGGACAAGGTCCAGATATGAGTAAACGTAAAGCTGTCTCACCACATGGGAAGCTGTTAGTTGCTCACAGAAGAGTGTATTGTAAGACAGAAGATGATGGATATGCTACTATAGTTTTCAGAGTTGTACATTATGGAATACGGGACTAGATAGTGGAAATTTGTCGATAGAATGAATCAAGTGGCTACTGAACTCAAGTATGTGAGGTGAGATCACTGTATTATATACCCTGGACAAAAGACGTCGCTTACAAAATGTTACTTGACAGTTACGTTATCATTGGCAAGATAGTGTCATGATAGGAAGGAGGATTATATGCTGAGAACTGGCAATGTCGGTGAGGAAGTGTATTGTAGTGTATGCGGCACCTAGAAGGACCAAAGAAAGATGGAAGCCTCAGAAATGGAATATCTAATGCCTTGGACAATAAGGAGAAAGTAAGTCTGGTGTTGTTTTTTGTTGTTGTTGTTTACAGAAAGCGGAACATTCCAAGTTGGACAACGCTGCCTACGTTGAAGTTGTGGATTTAAGGAGATGAGTTTTGCAGTGTTGACACCATAGCAAATATGAAGAATTGACTTTATGAAAACCAGTTTGTTGGCCATTAACTTAGCTAATTACAATGTTTTTGGTGCGAGGACGCTCTGGTTACTTACCAGTTTATGACTCGCCATACTAAGATACTGTTTCATACTGCAGTTTGTTTACAGCTATAATATGGTACACTTATGTTTGAGGCTACCTCAGAGTTAGTTGCCTTTTCAAAGTACAGTTAAATGAAATTTGTGCTTATTTGAATTCTATACACATACTAGCAGTATTACGGTGTGTCTGTCGGTTAATTTAATTTTTTATACCGTTGTGGAGTTTCACTGTTCGTTCCATGTCGTCTTTCATTGTACAGTTTGAAGCAAGTTTGAGTGGAATTAATTTGTTTGGGTGGTATTTTCACACAACTAGTCATGTAAATACAGGGCTTTATTGCTTTTATGCCTAATTTTAGTGCCTATTAATGTTGATAAATGAAGTATTTAGAATTGTTACAAATCTGCAGTTAGGCTTGCTGTGTTATAAAGAGACTGTGCTAGATTGAAATGTGTCGCTGTTCAGTTCTGTCCTAAGAGCTGTACGTAGTCATCTGATAACAAACAAATCATTAGAATGTGCGTGGTATTATGTAACACTTGAATGTGATCAGTTCAGTCAGCATCGCACTGTTTAAAATTAAAACGTTGGTTTCTTTTCTTAATTTAAAATATTGGTTTTTCAATCGATGAACAAGCATACTTGACATTGGAAGGAATTTGTAATTTTGTATGTTTTAAATTTGAAAGTGTTAAATAAACCATTTGCAGACAGCTAAATCCACCACAAGTGATTTAATGGTAGTGGGAAATGCATTATTATATTCTTTTACTTTACATTCGCTTGATTGAAATGAGTTGATTTTCTTAATCCTGTTTAATTCACATTTTCCTGGGATTTTTAGTTGTGTTAAATGAGAATCACCTGAATTTTAAAATATGTGACGTTTACTTCATTCTTATGATTTCTTTAAGTTGTTAAGTTGAGTGAAGTTAATCTTTTTCATTGTTGTGTTTGAATGTTTCTTCACTTTCGTTTTGCAATTAAAACCTGAAGTGAAGAATACGGTTGACTTACTCTTAGGGAAATGCTGGGGCTGGGACTTTACCGGTTCTTAGATGGTGCAACTGAAGGTTGGGCAGGAAGACAGACATGGATGGGCCCGTGAGGTGCCAAAGATTAATTGATACTGCATTAAAGTTCCATTCACGCATTTCAGGCAAAACAGCTGAGGTGTATTGAAGTTATAGGGTATGTTCCCTGCAATAATATAACCAACAACATGTCTGCTTATGCAACATACTTTAATAACTTAAAAGCTTCTGTTATACAATTTTAAAATAATTCTTATTCGACTGTCAATCACGTTTCCTGTCAGTATGTTGAACATTGACAGGTTACTTGTTTCTACTCTGGTGTCCCAACATCTTCCAGGTCTGGGATGACGATTTTGGTCTTCATCCTGTAAATAATGAAACTTGTTAGGTTCTGCGTATCAAGCTTTTAGAATATGGCGTGTGTCTTGTAGGCAAAGTGTGGAAAGCGTGTCAATAAATCACAAGTTTGAAGCAAGTCTATAATATCATTGATGCTACTTACTCTGAGCTACTGAGAGTGTCATTAAATTAACCACAAAAGAGATTAATGGAAAGTACAACATACGTTATTTCATGAGCCAGTTCATGTACCTCATTTCTTAAATGCGAGCGACACTGAATGATACAAGTTGGGTCACATACCTGGCAGGGGCGTCAGTTCTGTCTATTCGTATTTCGGTAGACTATCTTTATTGACAGCAGATACGGTTGAACTTCATGGATGATACAAATTTCCAAAACCCTTTTGATGGACATTCCAAGTTGTGGGCCATAATTCTTTCTGTGAAATATTTAGAAACCTAGCAACACACTGTGTGTGTAAATGAACAAGAATCATTTAAAATTCTTGGAGATATCTAGTAGTTAATTTCATTGCACATAATCAGTTACCCCTCTCGAAATCCTACCAGTACCTCACTGTGGTGAGAGGGTGTAACAGGTGATGAACGTGAAGTACGGCAGGGGTTCTTCCCCTGGCAGGTTTAAACAAGTCGCGAAGGGTTCATCATGCTTCGGCAACCCGGCTAACACAGGAGGTACAGCCTGGAGCGTCAAACCTCCACCCCTGTGATGGCCCAGCCAACCTCACAGGGCATAGCACCTCGCTGACTACGAACAGCATCAATATCTGCCTCAGTCGCTGCAGAAGAAGCGAACAGGAGCATCAAACGACCTGCCCGCAGTCTCGCCGAATACCGATCGGTCATCCCCTGCCTTAAGACAGCCAAAGGGGAAAGGATCACATCGAGGAAAAAATGCAAGCTTCTTACTCGACCCTTTTTCGTTCTTCGTGCTCGCCCTCCCTCACCCCATTGCACTGTCCCACCCTTCATCACCTCGGAGGTTCTGGCCGTAGTGGAAGGAATTCCACCTCGGAAGGCACCAGGCGCGGACGATATCACGGCGGAACTTCTGAGAGCTTGCGGTCACCCTCTGTACGCCACGCCACGCTCGCGAAGAGATTTACCCGATACGTGGAGGCAGGAGAAGCCCCACAGGCTTGGCAAACATCGCTCACAATCCTGCTCTTGAAGAAAGGAGACCGAGAGGACCACGCCGATCACGCTTCTTCCCGTCATCTACAAGTGTTCACTAGATGCGTACTCGCACGCATGCGCTGAAACCTTGAACAAGCCGGATTTCGTCCGTCCTTCTCCACGATGGATCACGTTACGACGCTGCACCACATATTAGAAGTCAGTCGGGAGTACCATCAGCCACTCATCCTCACCTTCATAGCCACTCATCCTCACCTTCATAGACTACGAGAAGGCGTTCGATAGTGTGGAGTCGGAGAGCACATCTCGAAGGCGAAACACCGTTGGGCTGGACACGTAGTCAGGCGGAAACACAACAGATGGAGTACGACGCGTGGCAAGAAGAAACCGCTTGGTCGACCGTTCACTCGCTGGGCCAATTCGCTCTCTCATTATACAGCATAAAGGACGCACGAGGTCCCACCAAAGCACAAGACAGAGATGAATGGAGAAGATGTTGCGAACCGCGCCTAAGTGCCAAATAATCAGTTACAAAAATGCAAAAAGCGAAACAAAGTAAACCATGACACATATTTTGAAAATTTCTTGAGAGGTCACAAGCTGTGAACATAAGAAAATGGATTAAGCATACAGAGTTCAAATGATGGTAGCAAATTAATATAAATAATACTCTGCTTCATTGAATGAGTACATACATTGCAATTTTGCAAATTGTGAACACAAAATCATTTTGCATTAACATTTTCAGACCAATAAATACATGCGCAGGGCTGTGAAGCTAAATTTAAATTGATCAGCCAAATATCAAATTTCTCACTAAACCATAATTTCTTTCATTATGCAAGCTATGGAATCAGAACAAACAGTAGACAACTGTAAAAAAAAAGGAATTTTACCCAAATATTACAGATATTTCACAGCTTTAATATTTTTAAATGAAAGTTGAACGTTTCAAAATAAGCTGCTCAGTTCTTAAAAGAGTTGCACCAAGAACAAAAATATGCCCAGCACTGCCGTGCTCTTTATGTGCATGTAAAACCTTATATAACGCTTCTTTAAACACGTTTCAGCAAAAACAAAAAAATGGTCGCACCAGAATTTTGTTTTAATTTATTAAATAAACACAAATCAAAGATGGATAGATTATGGAGACTGTAGGACAATATGCAGATAGAGTAATTACCTCATGTTTTTTGTGTGTAACGGGACGGCTGGTGGAGACCTTCCCCTTTTGGATTCAATAATCCTGTCTTTATGTCTGGTGCTGTCATCTCTAGAATCTGTTTCGCAATTTTGTGTTGTACTACACATCTGCCGGTTGACGCCTTTAGGTTCATTTTCTTGGTTCTCATTAAGGTCACGCAGCGCAGTGTTCTGTAGTTTCCTACCTACCGGCAAGATGTTGTGAACAGTTATCTCTTTGTAGACAAGTTACTAATTTAATTTTTAACTCTATCTCGTCCTTCATTTCATATTCAGTTTTACTTCTTTCACTCTTAATGACCATGAGTTCCAGCTCCTGTGTGCCTTCGTAGAGGTCCGCCTTCGATACTGGTATGGTTCTTAAATCTTCCTTATTATGTGTAACCTTTACCTTTAAGGACTCAATCTGTAATCCCATTGCTTCGACTTCCTCTACAATATCTTCACGCTCAGCGGCCATGAGTTTGATTTTCTGTTCGACTCTTTGAAGGTCTGCCTTCAGTACTGGTATGGATCTTAAATCTTCTTCCTGTTACCTGATAATAAATTTCTTCTGTGACAGTTCTGCTTTATTGTCTGTAATCTTTGCCTTTAATGTCTCAATTTTTAGTTGCATTTTCTTTACAGTGACGTCATATTCGTCTTTCTTTTTTTTTCGTTCTCAATGATCGTCTGTTTTAGATTCTGTATAGCTTTATCGATATATGCCTTCAGCAATGGTATCGATTTTAATCGCTCTTCATAACACCTCAACACTCTCTTTGTAACAATTCCTGACGTTTTTCTCGAACTTCCTTTAGTAGTTTTGTCTACAAACCATAAGCAATCACAGTAAATTGTCATGTTACCAGAAATTATTAATTACAAAATAAACTTTTAGTATGATACAAAGTTACACAACTTGGCGTATAACAGTGAAGATAATAAAATCTATACTGTGTGCAAAACCTTTTAGATTGTTAATTTTTATGCTTCAATACGATTCTCATGTGACAATGCTTGTGATTTGATGAACTTGAGTACTTTCAATACGTGTAAGCTTTCTAGGCGTGAAGTACCGAGTAAATGAGCAGTCTATCTAATATCAATGGCGGAAAGTTTCCCGGCTGTTCACAAATGTTAACATGTCACATCCTAGCGAACTTCCCGTTTTTTAAAACGCGAAGCTTACATTTCCCAACTTTTTTTTCGTTAGTAGTACGATAACCTTTACAAATTGCCATCAGCTGTGATCTGGAAGGACTTGGTGTGGTTGGGAAGATTTTCGAAGCGACTACATTCCCCTGGTATGTATACTAGACTGATGTACGGAGACAACGTGTCTGAAAGGAATTTCGTGGCCAAATTTAATTCGAGAAGTGTTTAATGGAATTTTATATTCTTTGATGTGTTGAATCTAAGTAAAATATCTCGGCATAATTGTATTTTTGGTTAAATTCTGTGAACATTAATGGAGACTTTACTATGAATATAAATCGTAACTCTACAGAGCAAAATTTTATTCCGAGCAAAAGGCGTATAGAAGTACCTAAGCCTTATAGAGGAATTAAGCAAAACATTTTCATCTCAAGAATCGTGTTAATTTCGATCAATTTTTATGTTGGAATAATTTGCTTTTCCGTTCCTAAATCTTTCAAGTCATCTCTTCCCATGAGGTTTTCAAATTAAATTTCTATATCCATGTCTCATCTCCTTCCATGCGTGCTACAGGCCCTGCTCATCTCATCCTCCTTGATTTGATTGAATGTAGCATGCACTGGTGAGATGAAACATGCTTACACAATTTTGGTTTTCTGAAGAAAAGAAATCACTTGGAAGACTTAGACATAGATGGGATGATAATATTAAAGTGGTTCTTGTGGAAATTATTTTGTTACGATTTTAAAGCTTGTTCGAACACTTTACTTAGATCCGTGTTGTGAATGATGATTTTATTCGACACATTAAAGCGTACGCTCGAACGGAAGTGACTGTGGAATCCCGGGGTTACCATGGTTACCTTCGTTTCTGTTGCCTGGGAAATCCGCAGCAATTCGTACGTCACTGGTATATATTAGTGAAAGTCAAAGGTCAAATTCTGTTCAGCGCGTCAGAATTATTACGCTATGCTATACACACGTAACATTACTAAAACTCTGAATTCCGCAAATGCATTAAACTAACATGTCCCGCAGATTTTTCATAAAATTTGCTCTGTCCAGTACTACCGTCTTGATTTGTAGAATGTTAACAACTTCATCTCGCTCTATAATAGTTTCTAACCATTCACAAAAATATTTAAAAAATCTTTTTCTTTGGAAGCCATCTGATTTTGTACATTTTAATAATATACCATAAATAGTCATAGTCAGAATAGCTTATTAGTTTAAGAAGGGAATTGTTGGTTAAAAAATGAGTGAAGAGATGAGCGAGGCATGTAGCACGCATGGGGACATAAGAAATGCTCACACACGTTAGGATTGAAAGCCTGAAGTGAACAGATGATTCGGAACAGAAGGATTTTTTTAAAATGAATCTTAATGACGTAAGGTATGGGGTGTGTGTTGGATTCATCTGGCTCAAGATAGGGGCTTTTGTAAATGCGGTTATGAATCATCGGATTCCATACAAGACGGAATTTCTTTGGCCAGCTGTCTGTGATGTTCGTTTCGTACGTCTGGTCCGTGTCGTTGGTGGGGAGATGTGGTTATGCTCAGGAATATTTTCTTCCGGTTCTGTCAAGAAAAACACGATAAAGAATGTTTCCGTCTGTGTTCACTACTGCGTTCACTCCCGTATAATTTTATTGTAGTGAGATTTGACCTATTTTCCCTTTCTCTTACGTAATGACCTTGAGATTTGTTTCGCTTTGCACCGTCATTGTACGAACAGCAGAGTATTCTGGTAATGGAAGAAGGTAATTTAACAAATGATACTTATCTATGACTACCCATTTTATTTCGCATCGTCTTGGTGTGTCAGACATGACAGTAGGAGGGAGTGGGGGAGGGGGACTACGTTCTGTGGCTTACGTCAGTGCTCGCTAGGCTTTGACGGGGATAGGAGCGTTTAAAGTGCTTTCGCTCACTTCTTTTGTTAAAACGACACCAAACGTGGAGAATTAATGTGAATTTTATAATCCACACTACAGATTATTAAAGTTTACAAGTGTGATATTTTAAGTTTAATCTTATTTGTGAATGTGAAGACAAATACTGACATGAAGATGTTGAAAGAAATCTTCAAACCTTTTCTTGGAGCGATGGTTTTAATATTTGTGATGATTTTTGTGTCTGGTAAGTTGATTATGTTGTATTTATATATATATATATATATATAAGCTCATTTTATGTGTGTTTCATGTAATGAGTCAATGCACGCGTATTTTTTTAGTGTATTCACTATCCTGTATGACTAACCATTTCGATATTTACTGTTCAAAGAATTTTGATTAATAGCTTCTCGACTTTCGTGTAACCTGCCTTGAGATTTTCAACTTAATACACTAGCGACTTCCTAAGAAAATGAAGATTAGTCACACTTGGAATTTTATATTAGTCTCATTGTTTATGTATGCTTACTGGCTAAGAGAGGTCATTTTAACTTTTCGCCCAATATTATTAGGATGATCAAATCATGGAGGCGATGGGTGAGGCATGCATGACACAAATGGAGATGAGAAATACTATCAAAATTTTTGTTGGGAAGCCTGAAGGCGAGACACCATCCGTAACATGTAAACCTAGATGAAAAATGAGAAATACTATCAAAATTTTTGTTGCGAAGCCTGAAGGCGAGACACCATTCGTAATATGTAAACCTAGATGAAAGTATAATATTAAAATTGATCTCAAAGAAATAGGTTAGGGAGGTTGTGGTTTGGATCCATGTGTCGGGCTTTTGTAAACAGGGAAATGGAACTTCTATTAAAGGTGGGGACATTATCACATTCTGAAGAATGACTGTATTCCTTGGAGTCAGTTAGTTACCTGATAATCTTCGTAGCTGATCCCAGTTTCATGAGCCTCATTATCATGGCTTTATCTCTCATCAAACTTATCACTAGGATCATATTTCTTTCATGCACGCAAGAGACGTAGGTCGCCTTCGGTTTTAACATTAATCCCCCATATCTGTTTCTAAGCTGTATTAGGTATAAGAGTAAATACATTTACATCCGGTAGAAATCCTTTGGTAGGGATTCGAAAGGCACCTACCTACTCGAGAGAACATAACAAAGAATTACTCGAATGTACAGACAAACATCGAGTGGGGTTTGAACCTGTGATCTCAGAGTTGAAGATTTGTAAATCATACGATGTAACGCAGGTACTGGGATCAGTTCTTAACATAAATTAAATTAAAGTAAACCAACATAAACTGTTATAAAAATTCACATTTGTCTCAGAACTATAAAAATTCCAAATGCGATAAGAAGTATTGAGCTTATAATCTGTGGGGAAAATAAAGTTATTGAATGTTAAGGTGGTACATATAGTAACCACTGTATTTCAATTAGTTAAACAGAATGTTGAGGATACGCGGTTAGTATCCTTCGTACTTGGTTCGGTTTCGGTAGTGAGATCAAAGGTTTTCCTCAGTTCATCCAAATAAACGAATAGTAGGCCTAGCTTAAAATATGACGCAGGCAATGAATTTCAAGTCTCTATAATTCGCATTGATACACGTGACTTACGCAGATAGGAAAGCCTTATTAAACCAGATATTTTTTAAGATGGCGATACGTAAATAACTGTAGGGTTTCAGTATATGGAGTTGTTGCTAAGACGTATTAACGTAATAGTTTAAAATTAAAGTGTTTCTGACCCTGTCGCCATCTTCCGGGTGTCATTTGTCTTCAGAGTGTTTCCTTGGCATCGCTACCGTCTGTGACATTGCGTGCGATGACGCTTGGCGCCTGCGATGTCTGGGGTCTGTGACGCCTGGCATAGCCTAATCGATATTGACGACCGCTCGTGTGGATGGAAACTTTTTAAAGAAATAAATGTGACAGATGACAGAAGTGTTTGTCTGCTCTTTCAGTGTCAACAATGATTAAATCTGTTGGCATATAGCACGCATGGGAGAGACAAGAAATGCATACGTATGTTTTGTCTGAAAATCCTGTGGGAGACTTCATAGATTTTTACACATTGGTAGGATAATATTAAAATGGATATTGAAGCAGGGTATAAGACCAGACTGGATTCATATTGTTCAGAATAGGGCCCAGTGGCAGGTTCTTGTAAACACGGTAATGAATATTCGGGTTTCTCAGATGTCTGGGAATTTCTTGTCTTGATGATAGTTGTAGCTCAAGAACGATTATACTCCATGGTGGTAGCTAAATGAACGCACATGTTTCAACGAAAGCAGAAGCTGACAGTTGTAACTCTACATTTGTTTCCGGAAATACGTTTACTGTAAACATATAATCTCATACTTTAGCTTCTAGTTTTTAAAATATCTTTCTTCATTAACCTTCAAATGTATTATCCTATATTAGTTCCCAAAAATTTCTCCCAGACCAATTGAATATTGCAGGGGGTCCACGAACCACACTTTATGAACTTGTGGCCTGTATTGTTAAGGCTTCTCGATTTTGTTCGTACCGTTTGAAACATGAGATTTTCATGGCTGTGGTAATTTGAATTCTGGTCTTTTGGGTTGTGAGCATGGGTGATTATGTTGCTGTAAAATGTTATACCATGAATATGGAGGTGGTGCTCTTTCTAAACTCTGGTTACCATAAGGTTACATGGTGTCATGACTCAGAAGACCACAGTTCAAATCACTGGCACCGCTCCATAGATTACTTAGTAAAACCATCAGTATTCGACATTTTTGTGTAAAGTACTTATGAAATATTGCTTCAGACAGTGAAACTAATGATCTGAAATATATTTCGACTATTCCCTTTCCAGAGGACTTTTACTTCGTTTTGTCGCCTTCACCAGAATTCAAACTCTGGCATTAATTATACTTCGTTTTGTCGCCTTCACCAGAATTTAAACTCTGGCATTAATTCCCCGTTTTTCTGTTTCTCAACCCGGTTTATCAATTTTCTATTTATGTAAAAGTTTTAATGCTGATCCAGGATACAACATAATTAGCCAGCTAAATTATTTCATGATAAGCTATTTGTCGCCCCGTTATTCAACAAATTATCTTGCCACGTTTTCAATGAACGGTCAAAGATCCTTAAAACCTTTGCGCGTGTCAGTGTAACGTCTGGCATGCGCTTTGAATTGAACTTGTTTGGCTAGTCCCTTTAAGGTGTTTCGACATGTAACACATTTATAAAAGAAAGGTAATTTCCTTACAAGGTTACTGAATCACGTATATACACGTGAAACGCAATATAAATCCTTTATTTTTAATAAGTGTGGAATTCATTTGACTTCAGTCGTGCTACATAACGGACCTCGTTTGACTTTGCAACCATTTGCAGTGAAATCAGAAATAACTTTGGTGCTGAGACGTTTTGTTGTCGTACCTTAAATAACTGTATAAATCAGAGCCCTTGTTAATAAGGTGATAGTTGTTAAGCTAGTCAAGAAATACCTCGCCTTTTATGGAACACGAAAGTTTGTTACTGTGATCGTCGGAGGCCGCCATGGGCCCCTGTACTGTACCATATGAATTCAGCCCACATCCTCGCTTCATATTTATTTATTATCCCCCCCCCCTGCCCTTAGGGCCAGACTAAATTACGTATGTATTATTCATCTCCGCAGAAGTTCTTACTGCTTTCGTCATCAGGGCGATGAATAAGCCTCGCGTGATATAGCAGGTTGAGAAAATGGAAGCCAGCCTGCTCTGTTCCTCGCCAATCATGAAGTTTCAGTCTTATTGGACTTTATATAGATGACCTCTGTAGTTGGGTCAGAGCAATTAACCTAGGAAACAACCTCAGACATTCACTCACTCTTGTACCACAGATAACGCACTAGAAATGGAGCCTTTTAAGTTTAGACTACGGGTTAATGGGTGTAATGTGTTTGTAATTTTCCTCGGTTTATCAGAACAAATTCTGAGACAGTAGGGAACTGCGTCTCAAATCAGATTAATAACTATTCAAAATTCATTATAACCTATGTCTCATTCTGAGTTATAGTTTATAGGCCAATCCTCGATAGTTGAAACTATCGATTTATGACCTAGGAAGCAAACACACACCCGTATATATACTGTTTCGAAAAATGGAACATTCCTTAGCATGTTAGTAATATGAAATAAAATGTCAGTTTCTGTCGAAAATCTGCAGAATATATTAAAGCTGTCATTGGGTTTCGAAACTGCCTGAAACGCGGATGTTCTCTTGGTATTTTGTAAGCTTTTTATTCCAAATTCGGCACACTCTGCAGTTTATTATCGATTGGCCTTGTGTCGTCATGACCCATTACATTGTATCCTTTCACGCTACCAGCAGAGGGCAGGTAGAATTTCAGGGGGGGTTACGAACTTTCTGCTTTTAGAATTACCTTCGGAACGAAGGCAAAGGTTCATCCCCTTTAAAAATATTGATCGATTACATTCAGATCGAGCGAACTTCAGTCGACCCTCCAGAATCAACATAATTCTCAGTTTAAGTGAAGATGGACTCGTATTATGACTAAGACTATTAGCTCTATAGGCTATTTGAGTTTTTACAGATCTAAAGCAGAATCAAGTGGTCGCAGTGTTTAAGACGTGTTCAAAATCTTGCTGCTTATGTGATTTCATTTGCTGTCGTATATTTTATAATGGCTTTGAAGCAAACCGATTTACACATCTGGCTCTTATATCTTTTTTACAGAAAATTCGTAATCAGATATTCGTGCCAGGGATTTCTAGGGCAGCGTCCCGTTGCGTTTTTAAATTAAATTACTTTTATTTTACAGTCAAACACAACTTGTTGTATCAGGGCAGAAAATGAAAACATGTTTCTCGAGAATGTTCGTATCGATCTACTAGTCATGGTGTAACAACCCGGAAGTATAACATCGACAATGGACATAAATATTGTAAATATTTTTGTTCATTAGAAGCGCTTACAGAATGAAAACATGTCGTTGAGAAAACTCGTCTATGTAATCTTAATGTGTGTCTGGTTCTTAGCCCAGGATTTCTTGCTGTGTGATAGTCTACCGACTCAATTCACCATTGTCCATGCTTTTTTGTTTGTTTGTTTTGTTTTCAATGTTATTTTAATCGCGCACATTCAGTTTTTATTTTATATAAGTATATATTAAATCTTGTCCGTCTAATCACAATAATTCTTATTAAATATTAAAATATTACAATAATTGCATTTTTATTAGATTTTTACCAGATATCAAACGATGTTCTTTTTCAGATTTTTATTCCATTTTTAATAACACACTCGATGTTGTTCTGTATATATACATCATGCTCAATGTGACTTTAGTGTGGGTGAACGTTTTGTTGTTTTGTATCAGTCAGAAATATTGTAGAGGAGTTACATCTGTCTGGAAGTATTGCCGTGTTTTGACTGAACTTTTATATAATTGTTTTCGTATATTTCCTGCAAAGTAATAGCATTCATCCTATCTAATGGAAAGGAGAACTTAAGTTCTATCATCAGTTCCAACCGTTGAATCCACTCGGCTCGTTCCATCTCTTGCCAGAACTGTTCGCACACTTTCTTGGATTATTTTCGTAAGAACCTGTTTCACAGTCTATTCGCTTGCGTCTGAATTACAATGTCGATGTTTTAGGTGTGGGTTGGATCCATTTGTCTCAGGATAGAGACCGGTAGAGGGCTGTTGTGAACACGATAATGAACCTTCGTGTGCTACAAAGGCATAAATTTGACTAGCTTAGCGTGTTGTTAGCTTCTCGAGAATGACTGTGTTCTGTGGAGTTAGCTGGTTAGTGAGTTAAGTGTTTATGTTCATCTCAGTTCTGTAATGTATCAGTAATTGTTGACTGAATGATTTGTTGCACTCAGAAATCCTGGCTTATGATTTTACTACGAAATGTTGCATTAGTCTTATACGTAACGTAAACATTTGATTTTTCAGCAAAAAGAGAGAAAACAGAAAAGAGTACTTTCACCGAGTCGTAACATTTATATTTTTTTAATAACAGTCTAAAAACCGAAGATTTTTTAACAATCATTGTTGCCATTTTTATAAAATATGTAGACTAGACTATTACGTCATGGACAATTTTTTGATGTAGGGTATACATTTAGAATTTGGTTAAACAGTTTAGTTCTGTACGAAAAATTGCATGTCGTACTTGTTTTCTTTTAAGACGTCTCATATATTTAAGGAAGGACGTAAACCCATTCCTTTAAAAAAAAGCCATAACAAATCCACATGAAAACGATCTTTAATATTCGTGACCTGTTTAAAAATCATTATAACTATAATTTCCAATGTAAGTTTTGCTTGGGCCTAAAAACAACGCTGTGAAGGTCTCTAAGGAGAAAAGAGTTAAACCTTCACTCAGTCTTCATCTTGCTACTAAGTAGAGTTGAGTCATCATCTTTACGATCCGACAGCTTATTTATCCCTGGGGACAGTGACACTGATATCCATTGGATAAGAAGCTGAATTGGCTCCGGGGCTGATGTGGATGTCCCTAGCTTTCCTGGGAATTGATCCCCTGTCATCCTGCCAGTAGCCAATCAGTTTACTGATAGCTTTCCTGGTTAGAGCGGCTGAGAATTTAAGTTTGAGGTCATACTTGCGTTTCTGCTTAGAAAATTCTGGCTAGCTACCAAGGGATAGTCTGATTTTTAGAATGAAACAGCTGAGGAAATATGAAAGTTCCTTTTCCGTTACAGAATGTTCCAGTTTAATACTGCTTTACATTGTGCAGATCATGCCTCTACACCTACCGAGTTTAGTAACTTAAGCAGAACGAGAGGACAGCTTGCGAGTGTACATTGAACCTTAGATAACAGGCCTGATCAACAGCTGTGATATCATTTCATGTTTCTTGATAACAAACTGTGGAAAAATTGTTAGAAGTTTTATACTGCTATTTCCATATTTAGCTACATTTCTGTTTCTTTTTCTTTCCAAGTGGCTCTTGTTTTTGAACATGTTCGCAAGAGCTATGAACATTTCTCGTCTTGAGCCAGGTAAATTCATTCAACATCTCTGTCTTTAAGATCCATGTTAATAGCACACTCTATCTACACCTAGATCTTCCAAATGGTCTCTTTCTTATAATTACCATAATTTTCAGCAGAAGCATATTATAAGTACTTTCAAGGTAGAATTCATAATTAATTCCGTCATTAGACACATTGGTGTGCCAAGAGGTTCCTCAAAACAGTTTGGGAATCGTCTCAGTGAATCTTGCCTGTCACTCGTAAAGATAAATGGATACTATAAACTTCAAACAACTCTAAGAGCTTGTGAAACAATTAAGTTTTAAACAAACATAAAGTCATCTGTGACGTCAGTATAGTGGTGAAAGAGGCCTTGCAAGTGTCAAGGTAAGTGCCTTGAAGGTAGACTATGCTCTGAACAACCTGTTCTTTTTTATTTTCAAACGAGTCGCTACTTTGCTTTGTTCGATATTTAGTTACCATGTAACTACAGGTTACAAATGGGGAAAAAAACTTCAGTGACTCATTTATAGCTACAAGGCGAACAAACGTAGTTATCGCTTTGCTATCGATTTCCTGATTTTTCGATATTTCGCAATCGTTTTAATGTATCAACACCTGTCATTGTTTTGATGTCATCTCTATCTTGGAAAACTATGTATCTACCGACAGTGTCATGAAATAGCTGCCTAGCAAGTACTTCTTCTCTGCAAGATATTTTTTTTAAAACCGCTGGTGAAATACATTTTAGTTGATTTTGTTTTATTAGTCAATGTTCATTGGTATCTGTTCTCTTGATGAATCTCAAATCTACATTTTATAACTTAATTTTTCAAACAGTCCGTCCGTGCAAATGAAATAGATTTATTACGTAAAACAGACCTCGATAAAATATATAACCTGTATTGAAAGATTTTCGGCGTGATATATACCTAAAATATATAATAACCGACTGGCTGGCTAACTAAATAAATAACCTATTCACTTACTCCGTGTTGCAGAATCATCCTTGAGAATATTATATTCACTCAGTTAGTCAAGAAATATTCTGAATTTTATTAAACCCATAAACTTTGACTAGCTAGGCGACATCAGCTTCTTAAAGACTATGCATCATAATATACAAACTTCTGTGTAATTTAAATGTGTGAATTTTGTAAATTAAATTATGTTCTTTAATTTTGATTCATAACTGCTTATTTACCTAACAAAGTGTAATTTATTAAGATTAATCAGAAACATGTTAATGAGATTTTGAGCAGTGGGGACATAAGGTGAGGAAACGACCCTGAAAAGTAAAACCAGAATTTTTTGTTTATTTAACTACGTGATATAAACTGTACAGATGATGCGGTGTAGAATGGCAGGATGATTAGGAATTGGATACAACCACGTAAAACTCCCAATATTATCGATATTCTGGAATCGATTGGAACGTGGGACTTAACGAATACGAAACATGGTCGCAAACCTGAACACTATATAGTTGGGGTGAACGACAGTGTCAGTGAGAGTAGCTGGTCTAGTTAGTTCATTGCTGGTGACCTTCTGAACACGACGTTGAAAGAGAAGCCTTGCGAAACGTGCCTAATTATGATGATAAAATCACCATCTTGGTCGTCCCCTCTCACATTGGTGCAAGAAGACAAATTGTTGGGATCTTGACCTTATGAACTTATGTTAATACGTCAACGAATCTCAGTTGCTAAGGAAAGTGTGAGTAATTCAATTGAATTTTACAATATTTTCTCTCTTGTTTTAATGGAAACATAAGTTTGTAGACATTTTTATTTAACCAGCTTTTAAAGTACCTGAGAGGGATTAAGTGATAGGGCACAGAAAAAAAATGCAAAATCATGTTTTCATAAGCCCACTGTTGGACCCACCAAGTGCCAGTAGAATTAGGTCCATATCCTCAGATCATATTTCTCTCAGATGAATTTATTTTCCTCTTATCTTTAGTATTCCAATTGATCTGTTTGCTTTGAGGCATCTGACAAATGTTTCATAGCCTACAAATAAATAATTATGAAACTTTGTACGTTATTAAAGATATATACAGTTGATTAATCAGTATACTTTGATCCATCTAGCCAATTATACTGAAACTCCCTCACCAGAAACAATTAATATAAATAAGTTCAAAGTGGCATAAGTTTTCTTTACTAAAGAGGAGAGTAAATCCATGGGGCAGGATCTTTGTTGATAATTACTCATCTGGTCAGTAAATTCCCTGCTTCTATAGAACCAAAAGGTTCATACACATATTAACAAAAACCCACCATTTTTTCTGCACAGAGGCATTAAATCCAGTCTTTCCATAATAGGATTGTTGATATTATACTGACTTCTGTTGACAGGTCACAAAAGTGGTCCCTACCCTTGATATTTTCAGATCAAAATTGTGTATGTATTTCTTATTTCCCCCATTCATGTCACACGCCCCACCAATGCCATCCTGTTACATATAATCCCATAACACTATTTTGTCAAGTGCAAAAATTATGAAGCTATTCATTATGCACTTAAGAATAGGAAACAAGGTAGTTTTGTACATTTTTAATATATTTTGGTCTCCTGGGTTGTGACAATATGTAGCCTTGTAAGTGGTTTTAACATTTGAGAGAAATGTATCACCCCCATCTTCAGGGTTAAATAGTAAGAATTTGCAGAAGATGCCAGTGGCATAATGTCTATACTAAATTTAATAAAAATCCATGGATGATGTCACTATGGGTAATTACATCATCAGGAGAATCGTGCATGTGTGGATGATCGTGGATAATGCTGATGTGTCCTGCGTCTTGAACTTGAGTACTGGTATCACATCTGTTGTGCTGGTATTACCAATGGTCGGAAATTTTAAAAGCAGTGTGAATTTGGGTTAGCGTCCAGTGGCATAATGCCCATACCAAATATTATAGAATCCTGACCAGACAGACATGACCAGCTTTATATGCATTCATTTAGTGCACATGCAAAGAATAATGAATACATTAAAATTCTGTAACCTCTACTTAGTTTTATATCAGGCATCATAACTCACTACATAATTACCATAGAAAACAAACTCATGACGGTCTTTAATTTGCTGTTCTCTTTATCCTATAGGTATTGGGCCAGCTTCGTCCATTGATGCACAACCTTTTCTTCGTAACACCAAACTTAACTCATCTGATGAACTAGCTGCTCAGTTACCGCCACTTCTTTTTCCACAGTATTCTCTTGAAGATGATGCGCCACAAAGGCAGGGTGAAGAGTTACCTCCTTCAACCTTCCCAAAAGAATTTGATGATAAAAGTCTTGCAGGGCATAATGGTACCAGTTTTGGTGATAAAGGTGCAATTACTAATGCAAGCAAAATAACAGTTTCAGTCACTAAACAAACACCTGCAAAAAAAGTTGCTTCAGAAGTGCCTGATTTGCTGAGTGGTGATGCATACAACAGGACTGTTTATGAAGATGGCACTGAAGGTCCTATACAGAATGATACTGTTATGGTAACAGGACCAAATGTCATAAGTAATGACAAAACTCATGAAGAGGATGTCACAGCCTCCAGTATGACAAGGACACAAAGTAAAATTAATGATGAAACTGTTTCAGTTACTGGTATAACCATCCTTTCTCCATTAACAGAAGTAGTTCCAAGGAATGAGAAAAATGGTACAAGTGTTGGTGACACATTTACTACCATTCCAGTAACTGAAGAAAATTTTGCTGTGGAAGATCCCAAAGAAAATAATCCCATTTCAGATAATAACAAAGAAAAAGTGAAAATCAAGTCTGATAATAGGAAAAACCAAAATGAACCAATAAACAGAACTGATTCAAACACAACAGTTAAGGATGAACCAACAATCAGAACTGAATCAAACACAGCAGTCAACAATGAAACAGCCAAACCTGAATTGGTGTCGTCAACTGTGAAAGAATTGTCTGTTACAGAACCAACGTCTTCACAACCTGTTCAACAGTCGGCGATCACAACCTTGCAACCAACTCTAAAAACTCAATCCATAACTTCATTAAATATTTCAGAGAGCAATAGTCACCAAAAAGTTGATGATAAACCACTTTCTCTGGCAGCATCACAGCAACACGCTGATCATTCACATGCATCAACAGGGAAGTCATCGGCATTTCTGCAGCCCACAGAATCAGCAGCCATACTTGCTAGTGTGTTTGTTGGAATAGCTCTCATTGGATACATTGGTCTTCTTATCTGGAGGAGAATTTTGGAGTAAGTAAACAGAAATTTTAGGAATTATATTATAAATGTTTGATTTAGACCCTTTTATTTACACTACTCCTGGTATTATTATGATAGGGGTTCAATTCCTGGCCTGAACAGAAATTTCTCTCATTTTCATGGTGTCCAGACTAGCTCTGGAAACCATCCAGCATCTTATTCAGTTGGTACCAGTGGTAAAGTGGCCGAGGCATGAAACTGGCCACTCTAATGCCGAGGTTGAGATATGTGGATTTACACCTTCACTCCCCCATATGTCTTCATGGTGTGTTGCCTAATTAAACACCAGGGTGACATTAGGGTATTTTAATGAAGCAGGTTACTTTGAAATTATGATATACTTTGTATATAAAACAGTAGTTGGTTTGTAAATTGAACAGACTTAATTGAGAAATAAATCGGTTAAGTAGATAATCAGATGTAAGATTTGAGGTTTTCACAGTGGTGACTATGAAGATTTCCGTCTTCTGGGTTGTTGCGCTGTGTAGTCTATACTACACAGCGCAACAACGCAGAAGACGGAAATCTAGATAATCAGATATTGAGAACTTGGAATATGAGTTGGGATAATAGAATAAAGTACATTATGATTTCTCATGGGTTTTAATCTCGTTCCTTTTGTTTCAGGAAACGATATGGCAATCGTGAGATGCTCGTGAATGAGGATGATTTCTATGACACAAATGATATGAGGAATTTTGAGGTTTGTAAATATACATCATTCTGATTTTATAGATGAACAGCACTTTGATTAGTTTCCGTTGCAGATGTAGTTCATCTGTTCACCCATTTGTAAGATCTGAAGCTTTCATTGCAGCTGAATGCAATGAAGTTTCCTCGAGCAGTCAGCCACATGAGAATGGCGTTTTAATCCACAGTGCCATTCTTACATGGCTGATTGGTCAATAGGACTTCTTTGAATTCATTTCATATTGCAGAACTCTCTTATGGTGGTTATGAAAAACAAATAAGTTTTTTATATCGTAGAACTATTATAGTTCTTACATAAGGAAGTTGCAAGGGCCTGGGATTGTGTCCAAGAACGTTGGTGTAGACAGCATACATTCAGTGAATTAAGAACACGAAATATATCTGAAAAGGGGAAGCAAGATTGCCATTGTGAGAACCTCAGATCCAATATTTTGACTGGAAGGACTGTGGAAAACCACAGAAACCTGTCAAGATGATCTGCTTCTGGACCAAGAATCAGACCTGGGATAAAATATGATTGCCGACTCGTGGACTCTGACTTTCACATTGAGAAATTTACATAATATGGACTGGATTTAACTGTTTCAGGAAGGGATCTTATGGTAAGAATTATATTATAAGTACTGTATTAATGAAGACTAAGTTAGTTGCATCAGTTTAAATCTCTTATTAAAGACAGTTATATCAAGTTAAGTCTTAATAAACAGTAAATTGTAGCAACTTAAATCTGTTAGTAAAGAGTAGGTTTGTTATTTAAATTTAAATCTGTTTGATTACATTTGTTGTATCGACTTAAGCGGCATGAAACTTTAAAAAGTTATGCATTTTTTCCTTCAGCTCTGACCCAGCAACATTGGGTTCCAGAAATTGTACTACTGACAGTCAACTTTGGCAGAGGAATTCTAAATTGAACAGTGTGATGGAATACCCAGAAACGACGCTTGTGTTCCATATCAAGCACTAGTAGAATAGTATCAAGTCCTTGTATTTTATTTTTATCTGTGATACAAAAAAAGTGGAAGTGAACATGATATTGATATATAGTTCAATAGATTTGCTCATAGAAATACAGTGTTTAAAAATACTTCTTAAATTTTTGTGGGAGAAATCTGCTAACCTCTTTTAATACTCCATTTATCAGGTAGCAGGTAAAAATAATGGCTTAGTATCATGTTCCTTTATCTGTTAGGGAGAAAATTAATCCCTCCATAGGATTCTATTGAGCATTACAAAGTTGAAGAACAATGTTATATATAATTATGTATATATGTGGATGTAGTACATAGTTTAATGTGTATAAATTAGACAAGGTGCAGTGGAAAATCTTGGCCTAAAGTGAGGTTATGCAGAAATGCAACCATACAAATTGGTTATACTGACATTACCATATTCTCTCTCTCTCTCTTTTTAACAGTGATGTATGTATTAAAGCACAGTTTTGGGACCTTAAGTCAAGCATTGAATCTACCTGCTTCCCTAGCCTGGCTCATACAAAGCTAAAACATATTGTGTTTGATAAGCTATATTATTTGTGCTCCTCATTACAAGAAGAACATTTTGCTTTTGTTGAATGGAGAAGAGGAAATTTTATTATATTCCTCCACTTCAAGCTGTCTGATAGCATACTGCTAGCCTGACTGGAGCATTTGCCACTGACAAGGGTGAGCATAATATTGTTAATGTGTGAAATGCTACTTTTGACGATTAATAAAATTTGAAGAATTTATATATCAGGGTTCTATTAAGATGTTTGAAACAGCTTCATGGAATTTCAAGGCAGTATCATGTCCAGTAATTATTATGATTCATGGGATGTCTTTTTATGTGTCATGCCTATGGGAAGCATGCAATTTTTTGAGTGGCCCACCTGTTATTTTTACTCATCTCTTCACTAGGACACTGTTTAATTTTAGAACAGATATTATATGTAATACATTTTAATGAAAGGAAGATGCAATGGTGGTAGTGAACAATTTTCTATACAGCACCAAAACCCAAAAGGACATCTCACAATTTTCATTTTTGTACAGAAAGAAATCTCAATTGTGCCACCTATTAATGTTTGTATCTTGCAAAGAAATAAGGCATGCATACAGTTACTGACTCCATGCCTGTGCAAACTGAAAAATATTTCATGAGGTCAACAGTAGGTTCCTACATACGTCTCAATCATAAAGGAAATGAATAAATAATGAGAGAATTGCAAATTTACTATAATATATTTGATATGGTATTATAGAAGAAACTGAAAAAATGTGTTAAAAGAATGACAAATATTATGATTGCACTGGTAAATTGCCTGTCATAATTTACAGGACAATCTAAAATAGTAAACACATATAGTCATAAATATTATCCAATAAAACCCAAAATTCCTTCACAGCATTACCATGACTGGTTGTATCAACACACATTATATTATCCTAAGGTGCAAAATCCCCTAACTGCTGAAAACCAACCAAGCAAGCTACCAACCAACACCTGATTTCCCTAAATAGTATACCAAATACCAACCTAGAGGAGGATATTATGTAAGTATTGTGTTTTGTAATATCTGTGAGTGGGAAAGATGATGTAATGTGTTTAAAGTGCTTACAAATTTCTTTTTCTCACCTTGGTGCTCTGTGCAAATTCTTTAGCAAACTTGTAATAGTCAATTTGCTAGTCAGACTCCTCTTATGTGTAAAAGCTGCCCCTGATTTAAGTGTTGCATGCATTCTGAAATGGTGTCATGAATGGGACATGAATCCTTGGCACTGTTTGTTAATCAAAATAAATATTTTACTTGTTGTTTGGTATGGATGTGAAGCTGTCCTCTCAACTTGAGGGGAAAATATAAATTGAGGTTAATTTTTGTACCTAAGAGAGAAGTAAAAGGACGGTGGAGAAAACTTCATTCTGAGGAGCATCATGATTTGTTCTCTATATCAAATGCCAAATCAGTGATGAAATCGAGGATTATGATTTCGACGGGAATTATAGTGTGTATAGGAGAGATGAGAATACATACAGAACTTTGGTTGGAAAACTGTATAGAAAGATACCATTTCAGACAGACATGCAAAGGCAGGATGATAACATTAAAATGTATCTTAAAGAACCAGGATGTGATAACTGCTTTTCATCTGGGTAAGATCTAGTGGTATTTTCTTGTAAACAGTTATATAGACCTTCATATTCTACAAAAAGAGGAAAATTAGTTGAGTGACTATTAACTTCTCAAGGACTTTGCTTCAGTTAATTATGTTTACTTTTGTTTGAACGGTGTAAACAGCTTGGCTAGGCAACAACTGTTTCAGTAGCATGCACTTTTTAAAATTAAAAATGTTATGATTCCAGCTGATGACATATTTTGTTAATATTCACAGTATTTGTTTATTTAAAACAAAATGGAACAAACTCAGATTCAAATTAAAAGACAGGGTAATTAATATTCTATGACAGTGAAACCTTTAATGTTAAAGGGAACCTTCTATAAAAAAGGTACATCTGATCACTGTTGTGTAATATCTTGATTAAGATAAAGTAACTTTAATCACATTAAACAAAATATCCTTAGTATTTTAGAATGTTTACCAGATTATATTTCATATTTTTAGCAGAAGATATTAAAATAATTTGACTGCATGGAGAACAAAATTTGTATATGTATGTAATATTAAAACACAAAATTTATTGTATCATTTTAGTTGGTAACCTGTTTCATTTACTATTGAAAATAATTAGAAGTTATCTGCACCAATGTAAATTGCATATATGCTATAAATTGTTATAAAATATACAGGATGAACACAAGTGATCTAAGTGGTTTAAAGTATTTACTAAAACAAAATCTAAATAGCATACAGCAATTAAACTTATATCATTCGAAGAGGTACTTTAAATATCTTACGTAGGATGCATGAAAAGTGATGCAATTCTGATGGTTACTAGGAGCACAATTATTGATATGGCAGGAACATGGTGAATCAACCTGAGAACGCAAATTTAATCTGCACATGGAAGAGTCTCTGAAAACCCTTTTAAAAAGTTCTACATCCAGTGGTGTAAGTTTCATTTTTGTAAGCAGTTTATTTTTTTAAAATAAATGTTACAAAATGCTCAGACAACGTGTTCACACTGTACATTCCTGATATGAATATAAGCATTACTTGTATTTTACATTCATATTAAATACATAAAGCAGTGTTCTTTTTTTCTGGCAGAATAAGCAGAAACTGTGTTCTGTTAACTTCTTTGATAGGTTGTGTGAAAAAGACCATTTGCCTTCTCTTTAACACTGATTTAAGTTCCTTTCTGATGCACTGATTTAATGAACAAAATATCACTTTGAGTAATCTGATGACTGAACTTCTTAAACATTAATGACAATTCAAGAGCCTGTTTCACCCAGAAATAATGCACTGATATGTAATGTATTTGCATATATATTCTTTATTAAGAAATAAATTTATAACTTATACAGATGGTATTAAATACTACCTGTGCATCAGATTTTGCCAAAGTATTCAATAAATAACTTCCAGAATAAATTTTCCTATGTGTCAAGATTTTCAAACTGGCAGCGTTTAATTTATGAAAGATAATTTATCAAAAAGAAGAAAGAAATGGACTCAACATGAATGGAAACAATTTAAAATGCCACAAGCGTACAGGACACACAAAACTGGCAGCTATGAGGTGGGTTGGTTCTTTTATTTATGAATTATAGATATTAAGAGCATACAGATTGTGTGAATTTGAATCTTGTTCCTGAGACTTTGTGGATCATCTAACAACTAAGCCTTTTTGTCTATCTCTGTCTTCCCACTACCCTTCAACTCCTCTCCCCCCTCCCCATCTTATTACTTTGTTCTGTGCGATATTTTTCCTAATTTGTTCTTCCTATCTTGATCTTGCATCTCCATATTGGTAATTTTCCTTTTACTTCCATGTTCAAAACTTCTTTTGGGGTTGTCTTTGAAAAGGAAAACTTATCTAGTAACTTAATGTTTCTTTATGGACTATAAATTAAGTGCACACAATGAACACACAATACAGAGACTGTGTTCATCTTCTCATCTTGTGTTCCGTTTCCCATGGCAAAAATTTTAAACTGAATTTTCATTTCTTTATCTATTTGAATTCATTTAATTTTTAACAAACTGCTCTTGTAAGTTATAATTCCTCAGGTAGGGATACTAGTGTGACCTACTAACAGGAATGTGAAACTAGATTAGGGAAAAATATCTCTTGGCAGGGAAATTGTTTATTGCATTTTGTGCCTGAGGACAGGAATGTCATCCCTTATGCTTGGTAAGAAACACTGCTCAGATCATTTTCTGATAACACTGTCACTTTTATTACTATTTATAGAAGCTGTGTATTTTCACCAGATTATTTACAGCCAATTTTGATCAACACTATATTTTTCCTCTTTCTTTCTTTTAGAGAATTACTGGTGTAGAAATGACTGATGAATTTTGAAGCCTTTTGTAAGAATATAATGCTGTCAGTCTTTGACAGAACTATAATTTTGCAGAATCTTCATATAGTGATTTTGGGGCTTTGCTAAACTATCGCTCAAAGTGGAAAGGAACACAAAAGTTGTGGATTGGTGCCTTGTTTCAAGGAGGTATCCCAGGTAGCATCTGCATAGGAATTAAGGAAAACCACAAACTGGACAAGCAACAATGTCCCATATTTCACCAGGAACTTGTCAAATATAAGGTAAACACTTTTTATCCAAACTGCAGTAATTTGTTTGGTCAGTACCTTACAGCATTACATCAACTTCATAATTGCATTTGGCTTGGGGAAATGAAAAAGCTAGGACAGTCTTAGGACTGTGCCAGCAACCTTTGTGCTTTATTTTGTAATAACTATGGAGTGAGGTTAGAATTATAGCACTGAGTCAAATGTGAAGATATAAGTGTTAAGCCTGAGAATTTGGAAGAAGCAAATTATAGCCATCACCTGAAGAGATAGTAAAAAGTTGATATTCAAATCAAGTAATTCCTTAATGCATTACTGCACAAACCTGCTCAATATAAATTAAAGGATAGTGATTATGGAAATAAGTTAAGTAAAATAAAATCATGTATATTCATTATCACTAGTTTTTATTTATTATTTAAAGTAACAGCAGATAGTTATACATTCTGGACATTTTTTAAATATCTTTCCCCATTTAAATTACCATAGGTAAACCAAATTACATGTCTGTATGTCTAAGCACCAGTGCCATAAAGACAGGTCTTTGACATGAACAGTGAGTGGTCAGCTTGATACTATACCACATGGTAAATGACCATAGAAGACTAAGCATACACGTGCCGCAATGATAATTTGTATGTTTACAGTATAACATAAGTTTTAGTGAAGATGATTCAATTTTCCAAGACTGTCAACTGGTGCAATTACAGTTACACGATGATCCTCACTACAGGAACAAACTCTTGGCAATAAAATAATCATTAACAAATGAAAAAACTATTAAATTATAGAGGTGCATTCCTCAGTCGTGAAACTGCATCCCGTAACACATGGTGGAAAGTTGTTCTCAATGTCCCATACACAATCAGATACAGACATCAAAATTTCTGGAGACTGGGTTATATCAAAAGACATCTGGCCCACAAGGATTTATTTCTGTGGTACCTTCTAAAGGGAAATTTCTATATGAATAAGCCTTGTACCACTGTCAACCTCAAAACATCATTTGCCAATTTTGGGCACTGAGTTTCAGAAGGACAGGCATGTACCTAAAATGCCTGAAACCATCAGCACATAATGGTTTTAATGTTGTAAGCCTGTTGCCTCTAGTGTGAGGATTATTCTGTAGAATTATTACTGTTCATGTATAAACGTTTCTTCAACAACCCATACACCACATAAAAGGTAGATTCACCCATCCCTTCATAAACACAAATACAAATTCTATTCTAAATGAAAATACTGAAATGGGAGGGAAGCAATGGAGATCCAATTTGTAACTTCTCAATTACGCAACGCCTCTACATCAGCAACCACTATAAAAGCTGAAAATAACTTCTGATACACATTTGGGAAATGAGTTCTATAACTTTATTATAACTTCCATGCACCTGGTTTAAGAAATTTTCTTTTCAAAGCAAAAGTAATAGGTTTTACAATCATATGTTTATCTATAACAAATGGAGATAACAACTGTAAACCGCAACCGGAGCATATTGGTAAGATACGGTAGTATGCTTGCTATTTCCGCTACTTATTTTTGCGCAGGATACAGATTGGTCCTACATTATCACCAGTCTCTTTATTGTGTGCGCCATGAGCACCATCACAGTATGGAAACTGAAACACAAATATTGCTACCATAATGTCACTTACTTTAAGTACGCAAGAAGGCATAATGACATCAAGAATACAGGAAATGCTTGCTGACATTTAGTTTAGAATGTTTACTTTCTCATTTTCATTTGAAAACACTGAAATGTTTATGCTATTTATTTATTCTTTGGTATGAGCACAGAACTTCATCTATAATTTTGAAAGGAGTTCTGCATTGGAGGAAATATGGGAACAAATACACAGAAAGACAAATTGGGAGACAACTATTAATATCGATTTTAAGCAACTGCTTTGTGGGAAAATGAACTGAACTAGTTCATGAAAGAACCAATTGAGGGCTTCTGTTGTGACCACCTTTTAGGTGTCAAAGCCACTGGGAACTTTCTGAATAGGCAAGACTGGAAACTGGTCCTCATTTCATCTCAGTGTGTAACATCAACTGTTTATACCATTTTCACAGTAGAATATTTTCATATAAACAGAGAACTGTCATGCTAAATACATAGATCACCTTGGACTAAATTTCACATGCCTTACTATAATGGTTAATTAGATATCAAACTGAAAACATGCTAACATGTACATGTACTGCCTTACTATAATGGTTAATTAGATATAAAACTGAAAACATACGATGTAATCATGCTAATACTTTCCGCTGTAAACAGAATTTACCATATCAAATTTTGCATATTTAAAATAATACACACAACACATTAGCACTAAACGTGATAGTTATGTTCACAGAAGTTCCTATAGCAACCAGAAGGGCAAATTCTCTTAAATCAGAGACTTCAAGAACAATGTGTCACCGAAATATCTTTGCATGATCTGCCTATAAGAATTAAAAAATTGGTCCTTGGCCACAAGTGAACAGGAAACACAGAAAACCACAATTAAACTTTACCTTTTTGCTCCTCCAACATCGGCAAAAAACAGCCTTTTCTCCTATGTCTTCTACATCAAAACTGTCAACTACCTTTGCATTTTCCTTCTGAATATCTGGGTTTACAACTGGCTTAGAAAATTTCTGAAAAGAAAATTGAGCATTTTTTTAAGTCTGTCCTCTGCATTTAAAAGTCTCTTGATACTTAGGACCTGGATCCATTGCAATCCTGGCAATGAATCATTAGAAGTGAACATTCAAATAAGTTCTTTATAATCAAGTATAATTTGTTTAACTTTAGTAGAAAAGTCGCTTACACCTAATGATTATAAATTAAAGCATGCAACATGGAAGTCAAAGCTGACAATAATACAATCAGTGTTGTCAAAGCAAATAGTGTTACTGGAAATAAAGTGATGATCCTTTATCAATCTGTTGTAGGAATACAGTGTATGCAGTTCTTAACACGAGGTTACATAAGGAGATTATTTCTTTCATCGACTGTGTCTTGTAAGAAAGAGTGGTCAATCAATTGGTCATATCTAGGACAAAAAGAGTTTTTCAATAAAGTAAAAGTAATCCAATCAGGCAAAAGAAAGCTAACGGCTTCCGACAGGGCATAAATGTAGCAAAATGGCCCTAAATACGGCACACCGTTCCACAGAAAATGTATAAATACCTTTCCTTTTTACCTTTGAACAGTGTCCTTTTGCTAGAGGACAAAACGCTCTATAGGACATGTATGTTATTCCTGCTATCGCAGCTCCAAAAGGGACAAGAGATACCCAATCTCGAACTGAAAATGAGACGTAAATATGACTATACACAGTTATACTTTCGAGTACTGAATTACTCACCATCAGTTATTGTATATTGTACAATATACATTTTTGCACATGCCGCGCGCATGGCTTAATACGGTAACAGTATTTAAAATGTACCAGATCATATTAATTCATGTATACAATGAAGCTTTAAATACCTCCGAGTTTAAACCAACCACATAATGAACTAGGAATAGGTAAACCAGACAAATAATTAGGAAGAGTAACTTTAACAATGTTAGATATAGGCTCCATCTTCTTGTGTCACTACAGTACTCAATACATATCCAATATGTTATTTCACTATTTGTAACGGTATCTAAGAATGCAGCGGATGGAAATAAAAGCAAGGATATTTCGATTTGGAATTTAATATATGACTTTCCTGTGTTTAGATACGAATAAATATAAATGTTACAATCAATTTTTCCGGTGTGTATACAGCATCACCAACAGTTGTATTATGCAGTGAATAGGCGAAAAGAATAGGAATTTTGTACTGGCTCTATTGGCTATGCCGATGATTTCCATTGATTAGGAAGTGTTGATCCATTTTGATCAGTTTCTAGTTCTTCCACCGGCTTAGAACGCTGCCTAACGGCCAACTTGTAAATACATGTTGCCGACATCCATTGAAAATCAGTGAAGGGTTATGCCATCAAAACAGTTGACCGTTGAATCTATGTATCATCAAAACAATGCGCCAGTGAGTTCAACATGGTGGAAGAAGTTAAGGTTGTTTTACGGCGAAGTGAGTCGTGTGGTTTAGGATTTTCACTTCTTGGCACTGCTGGATTACCACCTATTATTTATGACATCGTAGAGAATTCTCCGGCAGCCGAAAGTGGAGAGGTAATGTTTTGAATTTGTTGTTAATGTTTGAGAAACCGCCAGACATAAGCTAGCTTTTTGCATATCCGCCGTCCAGAATGACGTTTAGTCGTAGCTTTTTGCAGACAGAGTTACCGGTTTTACCAGTGGTGTGTGACACGTTTAGGATTTTGAGATATTTGTCGAAATATGTTTTGTTTCACTCTGATTACAGTGGCATAGTCTTATGTGAATGCTGCAGTGAAGCATAAAAGTCACCGTCAGATTTTGTGAATAGAGATAATGAATTAATTGTAGAGATAAAGTTTCAGTATTAAGGTTTTAATGGTTTGTAATTTATTGACATAATTTATAAAGAGCTATGTTTCGTGAGTATAGATTTGATGAATGGTACCAGACAGAAATTTTGGTGAAACATTATTATTCTGTCTTCTGTCCATCAAGTTAACTCAAATGATGCCTGTAAGTAAATGTCATATCATACGAGTTTTATATAGAGTGCGTTCAGCGCATGTTTATGCTAATATTAGATAGTATTGTATAACAAAATATGTATTTCCAGAGTCGAGGTAATTTACCTGAGCAGAACTGTCACCAGAGATGTTTGTCAAACTAAACGTGTTATTAATCCAAATCATTCCTGTCGCAGTTTAGTGTATGGAAATATTAGTGGATTTTCTTATACATGTTTCTTAGTATCATGTTCAATAAAACAATACCATGTTACAGATATTAAGTAATATTAAGTCATGAGTAACCATACATTAGTAAAACTCACTAAAGTTTGTGTGGTAATGTTATTTTTTAGTATGTATAGACAGCAATTGATTGTGGTTTGTTTTTAAATATTGACTTAACAATTCTTTAGCTCTCTGTTGGCTGCTGTAAAACATTTTCAATATGTTATGAACAAGATGTTTAAGAGCTTATAACAGGAATTATAAATTAGTAGTTGTATTAGTGGTCTGTTTCTGCATTTAAGCTTATATATTTGGTATGAAATTAAGCTGAATTTGAATCTTTATTTTTTTAGATAGGTGTTGGGAAGAATTTAATATGCTCTTAATTTCTTCTCGAATATAATTTTTATTTGTTACTACTGATTTCATATATTATAACATTGCCATATTTTTTTTAAGGATTAGTACAACCCTTCAAAAGTGGAGTTATCTTTATGCCACACTTGACACAAATTGACTACAACTGAACCACACTCACAACATGTCACCATCTGACCTTGTTCATGCCTAAGCAATGCTGCCAATGATACAACAAAAAGATTCCATTATTGCTGTTACGTTTTGAATCTCCATTGTAGAATACTTGGGAGTGAAATGCAAATAATTTTAGTTACAAGACATGAAGGAAATAGACCACAGATTGTGCAAGTTAATGAAGAGATCATATTAAAGCATATTTGAGAGAAATATAGAATGTGAGATTGTGGATTGGGTTCAACTGACCAGGGATAGGACACAGTGGACATGCTGGAACATGTACCTTGTTAACTGTTCATCTCTTAAACACAGAAAATTTGTAATCCATTCCTACCAGAATATACATGTGCATTTTTAAGTTCTTAATTAGTAATAAAAGATTACCAGTTACCAGACTTGGACAGTTTTAGTTTCCAAATGCAGAAATCATGTAGGCTCGTGTCCTTTAAGTACTGAAAATCAATACCGGCGAAGTCCAAACATCTTTATTTTTCAAGCAGCTACCATGTTGTTTTTTGCATTTCCAAAGCTTTATTTTCTGAAATCTGTAATCGTGTATTATTGTATGTCCCTGCTGCAAGTGGTGTTAATGTTGATCCCATCTCACAAGTTTGGTTATCCTCCATGTTGGTGTTTTCGATTGTAGGAAATTGAAAAGTATGGTTTTAGGTTAGTCCCCAATGGCGTATCATCCATACCAGATATTATCCATATCAGACCAACAGTTCTCAAGTTGAGTCATGATTCTGTTTATTAATTCTTTGTACCATGAACTTTTTTTATATAAAACTTATGGTTTGATGTATTATGCATGTAAAATACGAGTTTGTTAGAGTGATACGAACCAAAATTGCATATTTACCGCAAGTTTTAGTTCAGGTCCCAAACACGAAATGTCATCAAAATTCATTTACGTATGAAATTTGTGTATGTACACCATCTTCCTTTTATGAGTTCACTTTTTGCAAATACCACATATTAGCTGGAATTAATTTAAAAGGAATCAGTTCTGATGCACTGGACTTTTACAGTGTAACAGCTATATGAATTTGATGAATTGATTTCCTGTGGTTTATCTCCAAGAGTGTGAGTTGATAGTTCAGTGGTATATTTCAAGCAACAAGCATCACGAGTATGATGTTTTGTTTCTAAATATAGCATCCGGTCTGTCAGCAAATCGTACTTCGAGCCTAATAAATATGTACTATACAGAAGTGGTTCTCATTCGATGACCATGTTTTTGTGAGGCCTGTGTAGATTTATTTGTAACACTGTGTCATTCTGTATGATGAAAAATAGTCACCTGGTATCAAAAAAACCGCTTTGCTAATGTTGTCAGTATTTGGTACTAACAGTTGCAACTATTCAGCTTAATAAAGAGCTCGCGTTTAGGAGTCAGGACTCGTCTTACTGATGAACAATTAGAGGGATGGGTGTGAATCGAACAGCAGAGATCATATTTGATTTTGGAAACTAAATTAATTGATTAATATGTGAGATCTGAGGTTCTCACGGCAACGAATATGAAGCTGGCTTACTTCTGGATTGTAACACTGTGTAGTCTGGCAGAAGTTTACCAGTGTTTCAGAGGTCCTTGCTGCCTACGTCATCACGGCTCTGATGGCTCTGATCACCCTGATGATGGAGACAGCAAGCAGTTCTGAAACGTCGGTAAACTTACATCAGTGTACACGGCGCAACACCCCAGAAGACAGCTATGTTACATATGTGCAACAGTAAGTTTGTAATATTTTTAATAACTTGTCCACAATTATAACCCGCTGGTCCTGAAGTCAACAAGAAAGAGTGAATGTAATTGTAGAGGGACATTGCTTAGTACTCGATCACTTGTAAGAATGACTTTGTAAATAAAGACTGGGACCTACGATGTTGGTAAATCACTTTTTGTTTTTTATTTAGAGCCGGACGGCCAAAGTCTCATTTGGTTTTATCTTTAAATTTGTGTTTTTCAGATCATGCCAAGTGAAACTGGCACGTTATGTTCAACGCCATCTCTTAATTTCTAAGTTTTAATACAATGTGGGTTAAACCATCATCACCCTTTCTTTGGTCTTGAAATTATTAATAGTTTTCTTACATGTGGTGTCCTTGTTTGTTTGTATCGATTCTAATTGAGGAGGTTAGGGTAGCTTTATCTCTCTAGTCTTGTAATATGGAGGTATCTGGTTCGATTCGCACCTCTCACCAAGGGTACCATGATTGAGAGTTTCCGTGGTTTTCTTCATTCCCCTCAAATCTCGGACGGCTGTTACCACATCATTCAGGAAACATTTCCCTCTTTGACGAAAATTAAGAACGATTCTTCTGAACTTCGTGCTTCGTATTTTGGAGGTCCATGGTTCAGATCTTGGCACGGAGACTGGCTATCCTGATAGGGTTTTACGGTTTTATTCAGTTCAGAGGTATTTCCATAAATTAGACTCCTGAAAATTTATTTCGTATTCTTTCTAATTTATTATTTATTAGTCATCACATATTATAGTTTGAGTTACTGACAGTGTTTTTAAATAAACCACAGATGATACTTGTCCGTGGTTAAAGTCGTGGACTTTTAGTTTGATGTTTTAGGTATTTTAAATGAGTGGTTATTGCACAAATTTAGCAGCATGAACCATTCGAATGTCATCCTAGCTGGTTGGATACGCGGAACACAATCATCATCGGAAATGAACTTTCAGGTTTTCGTCGTTAAATATTCAGTCGACCACGTTGAAAATGTGTTAGACGGCGTGTGTAGTTTATGGTGAGATAAAATGTTTAATATAAGATGAAATGTAGATGTAAAACTAAGAACTGTAGCTTTTATACCCTCTGTCTGGGTTGAAGTGCCATGTGGACTTGCAAGTAGATACCAGCGTTTACAAGTCCATGCAGCGTCACAGTACGGAAGACATCGAAATTCTTTGCCGCCGTGATAACCTAAGATATTTTATTTATATTCTGTTTTTATTCCTGTGTTTCCAAAATGGTGAAAACGTGTCAGCAATCCAAATTGGATTGGATCCAGTGACTTGTTCCAGCTTCTGTCTTAGTATAAACATCAACTCTGTTTGGCAAAAATATAAACAGTTCGTTCAAGAGACACCAAAAGAACTTTATTCGCATCAGACTGCAGATATTAATTTAGATGTGATGGTTAACAAGAATTACCTCACTGGAGATCGAAATAATCATTGGGAGAGTCGACATCTAATATTCTGGCTATGAAGTCAGCGGTGGGTCCGCTGCTACATTGTATAACCGTGGTCGAATCAACCAGCAGGTTTCAGTACCTTCAGTACCAGTCTTTGGTTCTCCCACACACCACTCACGCATTTTTTAATCCCTGCTTTCTATAAATAATGTATGTCGGATTACATATACTGTTAAATAAACAGTCATAAATGTTTAGAGGCGTCGTAATATAATTAATTTTATTTTAGTAAAGTTTTTTTAGAAGTCGGAATGATTACTTGCTTTGAAAATGCATGAAACGTTAGTGTTAAATGCAGCGTTTGATTTATGTAACGCAATGTAGTTCTTGGATTTTATTTTTTCCTGAAATTTCCGTTTGAAATTCGTCCGAAATTTCATCTCTATTAATGCTTCGGATCAAATAGGCCCTCTTACTACGTGTGATCGTTCGATGTCTTCTTAACTAAGATAATCGGTGTTTCGAAGTGATTAATTAATATCGTATGTAATTTTTATATCGATTTGCGTTTGTTATTTAGATCGATTATTGTGGAATTATTCTGTGCATATACAGTTTCATCTTTCTGTCTTTTGAAAATATGCAACTGA